TGAGATATCAAAAAAGTACTCCAGAGTGTTGTTCAGCATGGGGGTGAGTAGAAAATGAAGGCTAATCATGTTTTGGGTGTACTATTCCTTTAAGCTGAGATAAAAAAGATCTATATAACATAGATTTATTTATTTTGATAAAAGGAGCTGAGAACCATTAGTACCCAGTGAGACATTATCTTTGTATTCAGTATTTCACATCAGTTAACTCTTATGTCCGCTCAAATTGTTTTTTATATCTGCAGACAAGAAAACGTAATGTTTATATTTGTTTAATGAGCGAAAATTCAGTTTAATCCCTAAGCGTAAATAAAGATGAACATTGTTTATTCTACTCAAAGTCATTTCTAAAGTTCGTCAACAAAAAAAGACCAAAACTATGAGGACAGCAACTTGATTGAATTGTTAATAACTTTATTGTATTCGAAGGACAAAGCTGAGTGGAATCTACGTTAGATTGGAACCTGCCTTTAAACACTGGCTGTAACGGTCTGTGGTTCATTCATCATTTACGACCCCCCACCCCCACTATTTCCCTTCCTCCTGCTTTGTCCTGCAGGGTCATGAGGTTCAGCTGAGCCATAGGGGCGTGCTGATGGCTGAGGAGTTGGCTTTGCCCTCCCTGTCTGGCGTCCCCATCAAGCTGGGCGCCAATGTGACCTCTCTTCTTTCCCTGCACCTGAAAGGCAGCATTAACTACAAGGATGCTTCTCACTTCTCCCTGAGCGGATACGTTCGCCCCAGGTAGTTCAGGCTTTACGCTCTGAAACCAGCGTCCATGGGCCCGGTCAGCAGAGTGTAACTGGTGTCTTTGTTCCCAGTGCCTATGTGGGCCTGTCAGCCAGGATGGGGGTGGATGGTGCTTTGGGTCAGGCTGCGGTTGAATGGCTTGCTGAGCTCCAGAGCTCCCCCAGTCTGGATGGGAGCGTCCAGCTGCAGGAGGGGCGGGACATCCGGGTCACTTTGAACACGCCGCAGGATGTAATCGACATCATCTCTCTCAGGTAAGCGTTGGTATTTATAACCACTAAAATTTAACTTTTCTTTTTTTTTAATTCACTGATTCGTTTATAAATGAAGTAAAAATAAAACCATCAAGTCTGATTGGATATTTTTCCCAGATTTCCTCGTCTTTCCACATGATTTACACTGCAAAAAAAAAATGAAATCTAAATAAGTAATTTCTTCTTATAATAAGTGCGTTTTTTCTTGAATTAAGGATTTAAGTGAGACACTTTGCCAATAGAACAAAACAATTTACGCTTAAAATAAGAAAAAACAATTGCATTGTTTTATTTCAAGTGCATATTATCTAGATACCTTATTTTAAGAATAAAAATACTAATTCCATTGGCAAATCATCTAATTTATCTGCTCAAATTAAGGGTAAATAGCCTTAATTTAAGACATTTTTACTCATTTTGAGATCATTTTTGCAGTGTACCCACAGAGATAAATAAGTGATGAAAATGTGATGAATGTGTTTCCATGACTGAATGAACGTCTCCATGTCAGTCATTTCATTTGGAGCAAGAAGCCTTGAAACATTTAGGCCGTTTGAAGGCCGCCATGACACCTGGCACCGACCGTCACTGGAATTACTGGAAAATCCTGCACACCCAGATCTACACAAGTATGGAGTGTTAAAAGAGGAAGTTACCGTAAATTACGGACTATAAAGCGCACCTGATTACAAGCCGCACGCTCTAATTTTAGAAAGAAAATC